CTAGGCTATGGTATTCTGTTGGAGCAGCCCCAAAGAGACTAAGAGAAATTGGTACTAACAGTAGGATACACATATCTAAAAATGTGGAAGTGGCTTTAGAACTAAGTAGTGGGTGGAGGCTGGAAGAGCTCTGAGGTGCATGCTAGAAAAAGCCGAGATTGCCATGAGGTGATTTTTAAAGGTGATTCTTGTGTGGACTCAGAAACAAGAGAAAACCTCCATCTTCTTAGAGAATACATAAACAATAATAAACAGAGTGTTGGTGGAAATACGGATGGTAAAGGTCATTTTAATGAGGTTTCAAATGGAAATGAGGAACATGTTATTTGAAATTGGAGAAAAGGTAATCTTACAATAAATTGACAAAGAAGTGGCTGAACTGTGTTCATATACTAGTGTTTTTGAAAGGTAGAAAAATTGATGCAGAGAATCACTTGCTCCCAGTTATGGAGCCAGTAATGGTGGAGCCAGAATTGAACTGAAGCTAGAGTTGGAATTTCTCTATCTCTTTTCATCCCCAAAGGTAATGTAGACAGTGTGCTATGGGTAGTATAGGAAGAGATGAGGGTAGAGTTGCAGGGTGCTTCAGGCCAGAAGAAATGACTTTATCAATGTGATTCATAAGGAAATATTGCCTTAGGTTTTCCTAAAACTGACTCATGTTAAGCAGTAATCTTGTTTTGGAGCTTTTCCACTTTAGCAAGATAAAAGAGCTGTAATAGTTAGATATTGTTCATATTACATGAGTCTAAAAGCAACTAGATGAGACTATGTATGTGAGAGTGCTTTGTAATCTGCAAAATGGAATATGGGTATTACACTCCTTCCCCAGCTCAGGATTCAGGGCCTGACATGAAGATACTTGGTAATGAATTAGCTTATGATGCAGGAAGAAATCTCTCTCTCTCTCTCTCTCTCTCTCTGTCTCTCTGTCTCTCTCTCTCCCTCACACACACACACACAGACACACACACACGTACACACAGTATGTATATGTGTATCTCCCCACTAGATTGGGAGCTCCATGAGTGCAGTGTCTGTGCCATCTCTGTGTCCCCAATGCCTTACAGAATAACCTAAAATTAGTCATTAAACAATAAGCATTTGTGATTTTAAAAAACTATTATAGTGCCTTTCCTTTTAGCTGGGATTTTTATATGGTAGACTGTCTCAATTTGGGATCAGGAGAAAGGATTGTCAGGAATCACTGACTTTACTACAGAGCCACATTTGTATATTACATGGTGGGAGGCAAGGGTGTGAGGGTTAAGTGCCGAAAGGCCTTAGCTGGGAAGGTAGCACCCCAGTAACTCAGCTTTGACTCCTCTAAACTTCAGGCCCTGAAGGATGTGGTATGTGCACTGAAGTGAGGGAAACAGGAACCACCATGGAGACAAGGTTGCTGTGTTTCCTGGGAGACTGTTTTCCCCAGTGCATTGAGCCAGGAAGTGGGTTTTTCCCCACCTAGTGACCAGGGGATGGGTAGATAATCTTGTTCATCACAATAAAGAAACAAACATGTTAGACTGGTCTGGCCAGTGAGTTGTGGGTCTTGACATGACAACGTGGCCTGCGAGTAATATGGTCACAATGACCTGGTGCTTTCTGTGACCAATGGAATCGATGAACAGGGTGCAGTGGAGGGTCACAGGCCTGAGGCAGCATGATCAGGAAGTCTAGTGTTGACACTGGATGCAGAGCGTAACATACAAAAGGAATGGAGTGTTCAGCTGCAACACAATCACCAAGCCCAGAGCAAGGTGACCTTATTCAGCCCAGGGTTATGCCATGAGCAAGGAAAAAAAAAAAGAAAGAAAGAAAAGTGAAGGGAGTAAGTGGCAATGAATGCAGAGGAAAGGGTGGAATTTCAGAAAAGTTCTACTAACCTGAGTTTGTGTTGGTCAGTGAAGCTCTTGTAGTTGGGTAAATGCAATGGTGGACTACAAGTCCACGTCAAGTACAGGTGAAAAGGACCAGAACAGAGAGGATCAGCCAGACCACAGTGTGGCTGACACCGACCCACACAGCATTTGACCATCTCCCTGGAAAGGAGTCTTGATGGTCAGAAAGATGGTAACATGTATATGTATGCAGTGGAAATGCTTGCATTGACTATTTTACCAAATCTGTATATAATTAACTTTAGTGCAATTTCTTGATATCAAACAATTTAGTAATCTAAAGTTTCAGTTAAAAAATTCCAGCATTGTCTGAAAAGGAACTAACTGAGCCTGGGTGGACCCTGCTGGTTATTATTCAGCTGTTCTACCAAACTAGTCATATGATGATAGTTGTGGAAGGAGTTGCTTACAAATGGTATCCGAAGCAAGAACCCACATTTATTCCTAAATAGGAAAAGGTGATGTGTAAAAAGTTTCAACCTAATTGGACCTGCTCGACGATTTGTAAGCCTGGACAGGCATCATGCACACATTTGTTAGTAGAAGCCTGAGAGAGCAGAATTAAAATTAGGTGCTACCACAGCTGGCCAAGCAATTGTTATTAGGATCTAATTTATCAGTCAATAAGGAAGTTGAGGCTTATGTGATCCCAACTTTTTGACCCCCATTTCATTTAATCAGGGTTTTAGCACTCCCAGCTATTCCCAAGCTATTGATATTTTTAAGAAAAAACTTGAGCCTGAAAAACAGACAAAAGACTATATATTATATAACTCTAATGATTTATCTTAAGAATCTGTGAACTGTGGAATCATGATTGTTAGGACTGAGAGACACCTGCTCACCTTTCTGAAATGAGGAGCTGAAAAGATATTCTGAGATTTAGAAAGGGTAAGGTATACAATGTTGACCTTTTGGAGACAGGAAACCTTTGATGAACTATAGGACACCAAGACAGTTCATTTAAAAGATGGTTTCAAAGCATTATCTGGAGCTGGTTTTCTATGTGCCTTACTGAAGCTCTTGGGTTGTCTTTTTACATAAACCTAGTGAAATAATGGCTTTTGCAGTTGTTCATATGTCTGCAACCCTCATGTGGCACCTTGGTTTCTAAGCTTTGTAACTGCTTTCAGTCTCTTTTGAGGATGAAATTAAACTTTTCTTACCGTTTGGCAGCATGGAACTTTCCTGCGATGTGCTGTTAAGGAGAAAAGAGGCATGAAGAAGTCACCCATATCATCTCCATGTAATTAAGGAGTACAAACTGCTCAATAAAATTGTTGCTAATGATATTTACTTGACTACAGTATGAGTCCCTGCTCTGATCTCAGAATAAATTAAGGATTAGCGGCTCATAAAATGTATAGATTGTAAAACTTTGTTGCCTGTAATAGCGTATGCATTTTTTTAAAGACAGCTTTGTGTTTGGACTATCTTTAGGCTTTCTTGTTCTCTTTCTCTCTCTGCCTCTCCCTGACTCTGCCTCTGTCTATCTCTGTCTGTCTCTCTCTCTCCCTCTCTCTCTCTCTCTCTCTATGTATGTATATAAGTGTATATGTACACACACACATACACACACACACACAGAGTAGCCCCCTCTTATCTGTGATTTCACTTCCAGTGGTTTCAATTACCCGTGGTCAGCCACAGTCCAAAAATATTAAATGGAAAAATTCCAGAAATAAACAATTTATGTTTTAAATTGCACGCTGTTCTGAGTAGTGTTGTCAGATCCTATGCTGTCCTGCTCCGTCCTGCCCAGGATGTGAATCATCCGTTTTTCCTGGGTATACACATAGTATATGCCACCCACCCTTTAGTCACTTAGCAGCCATATTGGATATCAGATTGAAAAAACCTAGTATACATAGGATTTGGTGCTATCCACGGTTTCAGGCATCCACTGGGGGTCTTGGAATGTATTCCCTGTGGATAAGGGAGGACTACTGTATATACTAACATCTATGTGTATGTCTATGTATGAATGTGTATGTGCATGCACCATGTATACATACATATATGTGTACATGTTTTTTAAGTTACTGAATAATTAATGAAGGATAGGTTGAAACAGAAAATAGTGCTCAACTTTGACATACAGACTTAGATTGACAATTTACTAAGGTATAGCATATAATCAACAAACCAATTTATCCTCTTTTAAAATACCTTGAAAATCAAAAGTGATCTATGAATTATTATTTTGATGCTGGATGTGAAATTAATGGAAATGTCTAGATATATATGAGGAAGTTAACACTTCAAAATACTGAGCTTAAATTTAGTTAGGAACTTATAACAAGAAAAATAAGTCCCAAACAAAATCGTATCTTTATTTACTGAGCACATTATTATTTTGATACATGACAAATAACATCAGTAGGGATACAAAGAATAACGCTCTATCCTGGCCTAGCCTTCAAATCTAGCAGAGGATACCAAGAAATAAACAATTACATATTATGTGATGAGATAGTAACTCAGGGTCTTATGGGGTAGGAGGTGGGGAGCGGGAGTGGAAGGCAACACAGCATACCAGGACATATCAGAGAATGTTTCCTAAGAGAAGAGATGCTTATACACCACAGATATTATCTACTGGCTGGCAGGTGAAGGAAGGGCCTTCACAGTTGGGGCACCACGTTGTATTCTGAACATGAGAGACAGCAGGTAAGTTTGAGTTACCAGAGTTTAGGGTATGTCATGAGAGGCTAAAGACTCTGCTGAAAGAGCTCTTACTTTCCCATCAGGCGTCCTCTGTGAAGCCCTTTTTGACAACTGGAGCTGGTGGCTTCCTTCTCTGTGCAGCCATGACTTTTTGCATATTTCTCTTGTTGACTTTCCCCATTCACTTTACTTGTTCATGTGTGATTTCCATACTTGTCTGTGGAATAATTAAAATCAGGATGGTTTTCTAGGTCTTATCATGAGACTTACAAAAGAGTAGGGACTCAATACATGTTTATTAAATACATACATGAATGGCTGGCAGGCTGCATGAGTGAATGATTATGCACTGTTTGGGGAGAAAGTAAAGAATTGCCTTGGTTATCAAGCAACCCCTTGTAAAACCTTATTGGTTTTATTTTTGCATTTTAGGTTACTTGCAGCATATAATAGCCTTATGGATAAACACCTGGCTGGGTATTTTAACAATACAAGGATAAGGCGTCATCTCTTAAGATCAGGACTGGTAAGTTTTGGTTTACTTTCCAACAACCTTCTTGCTTCATGAAGTCCAATAATTGGCTACCTTTTCAGGCTTTCTCTTTGAGTGACATCTTCCACTTCGCCTCATTTTAGAAAAATTTCTTTCTTTCCAAAGTTTTGATTTATGTATTTGAGGTTGTTTGAGAAGATAGGAAGGCAGGTCACAATGACTGCTAAGAAAACTTATAAATCATTGAGGAAAAGGCCCTGAGAGTTTCCAACAGCCTATTTCAATTGTTTGTTTATTCATTCATTCAACACATATTTACTGAACACATTGTATGAGCTAGAAACTGTTAGGAATTGAAGATAGAGAAGATTTTACTGTCATCTTCGGAAAAAATATTGCTTTTGATATTCACGGAATATGGTGTGGAAGACATGTACATTTCAACATTTCCCCCACATTTAAAAGCAAATTATTTCCTGTGATGGTTTATTGATAATATTAGTGTATTTCATTAGCTTCACGACTGTTCTTTCCACAAAATTTCTATTCCTCTAAATGTATACAATGTCAAACCTTTTTAAAATGTTACGGTATTCCATGGAAAGAAAGAGATGTGGTTATAGAAAGTGTTAGCTGTTTACCTTCTTAAAACACAATGGGTTTCCTTAACTATTGTTGCCATGGTGTTGAAAGAGCACGTATTGCATTTCTAATCGTTGTTTCTGTGCTTGGCACTCTAGCTGATAGATCTCAGAGAGCTTGCTTTTCTCCTCCTGAGGCTTTGTTATCAGACAGACCTGGCTGAAACCGAGCTTGCCATTTATAAGCCATAGAATCTTGAGTAAATCACTTTCTTAACTTTTTCAGCCCCAGCTTCCTCAGTTGTAAAATGAGAATGATGGCACGCAGCGCTCAGAATTGTTGTGGCAGTTAGAGATGTGCAATAAATGGGTGTTGTAATTATTGTTACTATTAACATCACTTCTTTGGATAACAGTCTGTGAGTTTTGAGTACAAATGGGAAGGACTTTGTATTTACTTATCAGCATCATTAACAAGCACTTATTGAACACTGGTTGTATGCATGGCAATTCAAATAAGAAAGATGCAGCCCTTTCTCTAGAGGTTCAAATATAGCCTCTCAGCTAGCAGTGTTCAGGGACACCCGGAATCCTGATAGAATATGCAAATATGAGAGCCCTGCCGCAGACTTAATTGAATCAGAAGCTCTGGTAAGCGGCCTATCAGTTTTTCAACAAGCTCTGCAGGTGGTTCTGATGCAGGGTCAAGTTTAAGCACCTTTGCCCTATAGGAGCTTCCACTCTAGTTGGGGAGCTCAGACATAGTCGCACAAAGACTGTAAGTGGATTATCTGTAATTCCAAGCACACTTTCTATAGGTATATCTCTTTCTTCCATTGGAAAATGTATTTGCAAAAAAAGATTACCAGTAACCCATCACTTGTAGCACAACTCTGGTTGATCTCAATACTCCAGTGTGTTGCAACAGTAGTGGTAAAAAAATATAGTTAGCAGAATTAAGAAAAATATGTGTCTTGCATGAAAGAGGGGAGCAGAGCTTAAATAAGTGGAAAAGAAGAAGGTGAACAATCCATATGGGTAACGCTCTTTGTTTACAGGGGATAGAGAACAATACAACACATCAACAAATATGCCCACATGAAGAATTAAAGAAAAGGAAAATAAGTAAATCCACAACAAAAATGGTCACTCCTGGGACTTGCAATGATGCCAGTTGAGACCAATATTGAATATCTTCTATGTATGCTACCGCATAATGTGTAAAATTCTGAATCAAAACAACAAATTAAATTACATTTTGGGCTGGAGAGTGGAAGAAAAAAAAGCAGTAGGAAAACAAAGTAATGAAACCAATTATTTTTAAAACAAACTGATGAGCTCCTCTGTAGCTACCATGTTTCCCATCAAAGTATTTCCTGCGAGATCATCAGTCCTATGATCACTGCTCCTGGTCATTGTTTCAAGGTAATACCCCACCCTGTTCCTCCAGGAAAGTGTTCAAAAGAGAAATGAAAAGAACACCTGGGTTCCATCAAGGGAAAATTGTTACTGTGATGAAAATCTTGTTTTAAACGTCAAGTGTACCACCTGTGTGTGTTTTCACAATGAAGGGTATATGAGACTTCCTTTCTCCTTTTTGCCTCATGAAATATGCATTAAAAGTGAAAGTTTATCAACCATAGTGATATATTCTTTTAGGCTTAAAAGCTACTGCTGCTTTCTCTCCCTCTTTCTCCCCTCTCCTTTTTTTTCTCTCTCCCTCCCTCTCCGCCTCCCCAAGGCCTCTCTCTCTCTCTCTCTCTCTCTCTCTGTGTGTGTGTGTGTGTGTGTGTGTGTGTGTGTGTGTGCGCGTGTGCCTGTCTGTCTTCTCCACCCTCCAGCCTCTCTTTTTTGGAAACTAACATCACATTTTCTATTTTATATTTCTATGTATGTTTTATTTATTCATGACAGATCACAAGAAGTGGAAGAATACTTTCTGAAAAAGAATATAAACTAAATATTATGAAGCGGGATCATCAAAAATATATCCGGGAGTGCTTAGCCCAGGCAATTTTTCATAAAGTTCTTGATATGGAGGTATAAATATATACTTATTTTTTATTTTATTTTTTTCTACTTCCACATCAATGAAGATGGAGGTATAAATCTTTACTATTTTCTTTGTAATTGATATTGTCTAATATGGTAATTAATAATGCTTTCGTACCTAGAAAAAGAGATATTCTTTCTGTGTTTCATTAAAAAAGAAAATGAAACAAAGAAATACTCAATATCTCTCTGGGCAGCCAGGAGCCAGAAGTCTAGCGTAAGCTTTTCTCCATTTCAGTTGGAGAAAAATATGGACATCATTATATATTTTGTGATATTTAATTTTCCAAATGTGGATTTTTTCATTCACAATGGCTACTCTAAAACATACCAGCCCTCACCATCTGTACCTCAATTTCCATTTGCTGAAAAAAGTGACATCTGTTTAAATATCAGTAATTCCATTGCCATGAATTATTTCAGATCTGTTATTCTTTTAAGGCTCTGAAGCTCAGCCGTATGTTACATTTCAAGGAATAGGCATTTTAACATCTGCTGTCCCTTCTACCGTAGGCCACGCTGGTCAACATAGATGCACAAACCAAGCATCAACAATATATTTTTTTAATCTGACAGGGCATCTTAGTGGGATATCTAGCTAATTTGATAAATTATTTCAGCCTTGCTCCATGGAACTTGAAGTTTCAAGCATCAACACCATTTTAATCTCTGTGAAAAAGCATGTCGCTCTTGGCTTGACCATACAAGCAGTAAATCAGAAAACTTGGCTCGTAAAACCATTGACCTGTGAGTGCAGTAAACATTTATGAACAACTGTAGAATCATCAGTAAACCAATATTAAGTCTAGTGCCACTGAAAATATTTATTATTATGCTGCATTAGGTAGATGAAGTGTTCACTTAAGATGTGTATGATCTGTTCATTTAGGAATTTACTTTGTGCTTCATATCATGACCGTGAATTACATAGAATTGTTGTTTGTGGCCCTAAATTCTTGCTTATAAAAGTATTAGCTGTAATTTTTCTGTGAAAACAATAAATAGTACAGCATAAAATTAACACCTTGTTTCAAATTTACCCCACAGGCACTGAGTTCTCTGTTAGCCTTAATCCTTGAAGTCTAGTTTTCCAAAATCTCACTTAACACATTCTGACACATCATAACTGTAGAATATGCTATTATTTAAATCTTTGTGGATTCCTAGTTCTGAATAAATATTTTAGATAAATGTTAATATGTAATATATTAAATAATATAATTGTTACATAACAGAATAAATCATATATAAATATAATAGAGCAAACTATCTTTAAATTGTCACATTTGTCTCACATTTAGTTTATGCTGATGCTCCTTGCTAATACTGCCGTATTCACATTCATGCATTCACTCATGCAACAAGCCATAATTGCAGGCTACCATGTGCCAGTATGAGGCTGTGTGTTGAAGCTGCAAGGTAGGATTAAAAAAAATACTGTAGAATGTGACTAAGTGCTAGAGGAGAGGAACAAATAGAGTGAGCTCAGAAAAGAAAAGAAGGATGACTTTTCTCTGTGGGAGTCAGAGGAAGCTGAACAGAGGCCTTGCTGTTTGAAGACTGAGTGAGGGTTCCTGTGAAAACGTGGAAAAGGTGTTCTAGACTTCAGAAGTTACAGAGGTGTGAAAGGACATAGTAGATGGAAAGGAACCCTCACTGAGGCCAGACTGCACAGTGGGTTAGTTGGCAGGAGTGGCAAGAAGTGACACTCTCCCACAAGTTGGTACCCAGTCTCTGGAGAGCCTTAAATTCTCAAGTAAGTTTGGGGTGTAGGTGATGAGGCGATGAAATGTTTTTCAGCAGGGGAGTAAAAGAAATGAGCAGAGCTGTTTTAGAAAGATGATGTTGCTAAAAATGTGGAAGATGGATTAATGAGCTGGAAAAGATTGGAGGTGGGAGGTCAATTAGGAAGCTATTGCCGAAGGGTGTAGGCTAATAGCAGTAGTGGTAGTGCTGGGAGATGCAGCTGTCTACAGAGAAGCTGAAGTGGGAGAAAGATTTAAGCGGACTGAATGCGAAGGAGTGAGGGAGAAGAAAGAGCTCAGAAGAAAGAGTTTCTCACCTGGTTGGAGGTATGGGCACTGCAGGAGATCAAGAACAACAGCATGGGCTGAAAAGGAACCTTCAAGTGGTCACAAACATGCCTGTTAGAATGGTGTCCTGGAAGCGGGAAGATTCTCACAAGCTGCAGAATGCTTAAAAATGATGAGCACTGGGGAAACAAAGGGAAATTAGGTTTGACCCAGAAGAGAAAAACATTGGTGGACTTGGCAAAAGTAGTTTCAGCAGTAGGGAAGTGGCAAGTCAGTCGATGTGGATGACTACAGTGAGTTGGGAATAAATGGAAGGTGGAAAAAGGTTGATAGTGAGTTGAACAGTTTGATAATAAGTGGGTAGGAGATCAGAGGAAGAGAGAGAGGAAAGAGAAGTGTTAAGAAGAGGATTGATGATAGGGAATTATTGAGTCTGCAGGGCTCCTAAGGCAGTAGGAGGGAACCAAGAACAGAGGGGAAACATTTTTTCAAAGGGCCAATGAATAAAACACTCTCAAATATGTCTAATTAATTTCAAATTGCCTTTTAAACGGATTATTTTTACGTGAGGCTTATTTTTAAATTATAGAATAATATATTACAAAAACTTGGGGGAAAAAGCATAAAAAAGGAAAATAATTACATATAATTCCTCCTTCAGAGACAACTGCTGTTAACATCCATTTCTTTCTAGTCTCTTTTCTATTCATATTTTTACCTTAGTAAATTCATACTATGTTGTGACAGGTACAACAAGATTTTGTGAAAAAACAAGCAAAAAACAGGAAGTTAGTGTCAGATAGGCCAAGGCTGAAATTATAGCTCCTCCACTGGCTGGGTGTATGACCTGGGGCAAGTTCATTATCCTCTGCCTCAGTGTCTTTGTTTGTAAAATAGGGTGGCTTGGCAATTAGAGTTGTTCAAGAAGAAATAATGTATGTGAAGCATCTTCCTAGCACAGGAACAGACACACAATAAGAGCTTGATAAATTAAATTGTATTTCTGTGAAATTCTGTATCCTGCTTTTATCCTGCATTAGGTGCATTGTCCATCTTTTTAAACAGAATCTGTATGAACCTTATTTAATGATCTGTATGAACCATTATTTAAATGATCAATTATATTTTATTCCATCATATGGATGTGCCAGAAATATAACCATTCTTTTTATAGTTTATATTGTTTCTGCATTTTCTTTTACCTTAAAGAAAAAGGAAAAAAAAAATTTTCAGATAGCATCTTTGTGCATAAGACATTTTAAAAAATTACTTAGATTTCCCACAGGTTCAGAAGTGAAATTTAAGGGTTAAAGGTTATGAACACTTTTAACTGCCTAATATATGTTGAAAATTGAATTTCCAAATAGTTGCACCAATTTATATTCCCACTTGTGCACTGATGCAGATGATTCTTCTCCATTTCAATGACAAGAGGGGTAATTGAGAATATAGTTAGCTGTTGGAATTATTTTTCTCTAAACTGGTCGTTGCTATAACCAATATGATTCTCTCCTTTATTCTTTCCTGTATGCTTAGCGTTACCATCAGCTTGAAATAAAAAAGAAACTGGAGACCTTAGCTAGGAAGGAGCGAATCCAGATGTTTAAGGTAAGGAGTTATATAACTGTCTTTTACTTCATAGTATTATTTTATGATTTAAAAAAACAAAAAATACAGTGAAACTATGATTCCAGTTCCCTGGGACACTTTACTTTTGGGTAAAACATAGTTGAAGTCAATGATGGTTCAACCAAGCCTAAACCTTAGCCATCACTATTACAGAAGATTGTGACAAAAATAGGAGCTGTTTGTACAAAATAAATTGTAATGAGGCACAAACCTTTCAAAGACAAACTTGAAAATATTCCTGAAATTTCGCTTTTATATATTCTTGTAATAGAGGGCAAGGGATTTTTGTTTGTGTCTTAAGAAGGTAAAAATGGATGGTAATGTTTCCAACCTGATGGTAAAAAGGGCTTTTTAAGAATGATACTATGACACATTTTCATTTGAATGTGACCCTTGGAAATATATGGTGGAAAGGATCCTCATTAGCAAAAGAAAGCATGATAAAATGTAGATTTTGTAAAAGGCATTTTAAAATTCCTTGTTTTCTATTTTTAAATATATCTTCTTTGCAGTGAACTCAGGAAATATAAACTTGAATCAAGAGATGAGATATTCAGTTAAATTCAAGATTTCCATTTAGGTTGGCAGTTTTACTCAATTTCTGAAGTCATTCGTAATCACATGTTGTTCTTAATTTTCTGTGTACTGTGGTATTACAAATATGCAGCCTCAGATACGTTTCACGAACTGACGAATATTTGTAAAGCTTCTGTAGAATAACTTGTCATAAAAGACAGTAATTTTTCACCCTTGCCTGATGGACTCAGGTCTATTTTATTAGGGTGAGAAGACAATTTTGTTACAAAAATGTTTTCAAATGACAGAGGATGGGTCAGTTTTTCAAGATCAAAGAGTTGGTGTGTAGAGATTTGTGGTTAATCCAGTTTTGCCAATATTGCCCTACATCAAGGACTAAGTCATAGATTCTATAATTTATCTGCTGAAATGTTGATGGAGAAAATGTGGTTACTGGAAAAAAGAGTCACTCACACTGCATGAAGCAGGAAAAGTTGCTATGTGTTATTCACCCTTGTCCAGGTAGCCAGACCCACTAAAGGAAGTACATGGGCATATTGTAGCATTGTCAGAGATTTGCTACCCTTGTGCCTCTTCATATGATTTTTATTTGAACAATTTTCGCTTTATTACTGAATTTGGCACAAGATATATTTTAGCTCTCATTTTTTAAAACATGGGACACTTTTTGCCTAATGGAATTATTCATTTTCTAAGATAGAAAAGTACTATTTTCTGGTAGTCTACTGATCACAGTAGTAAAGTTCATTATGCCTTTTGTAGTGATCTGCTTAAAATTAACAAATATTATTGCTAAAATGGAGGATACACTGCTTTTGCAGTTATTTCTTTGAGCACAACTAAAGTCGACTCAATTTCTTGCCTTTTACCACCACACCTAACTCCTTAACAAAAGTAACTCTTGGAAGAAACGAGAAAGAATTTCTTTAGTCATATATTATTTCGTACATGTCATGCATAATCTAACCTAGATTACTAACTGTGTATCTATTTGCTAAATTGCTTTCTTATTCTAGGGAGAGCACACAAGAAGGTCTGTTGAAAATAACATGCCAATCCTATCTCCCCACCCACCAGCCGGCCCAAAGACTAATCGTGGCCATAGTGTTCTGATTGATGAAGGACATTCCAGTCCATTAGCACTGGTGAGTAATATGAAACACTTTGTCATGCAGTATCCCAGCTAATTAATTTATTATTTCTTATTCTCAGAAAGGATACTCTCTGGGAGCATGTCTGCATAATCCCTGCCAGTCCTACTGAATGAAAATATAGTCTTGTATCTATTCAACTGTGTCTCTTCTGAATGTCTCACTTCCAGTAAATATCACTACTGCCAAATCAATTTTGCTCATGAATGCTAGATTAGTTTTCTGGAAGTCCTGATTACTTATGTTACTTATATACCCAAATACTTTCCCTGGCCTGAGAAAAGCTCAGACTCTCAGGTGACATTTAAGACCTTAAACCATATGACCTCAAATTAGCTATTCCAAATTTTTTTCTGCATGATTACTCTTCAGCATCCTTCAATGCAGCAAAATGGGACCACTATACATATTCTATATTTTCTCACCTCTGAATTTTGTTCTTGCTGTTCTCTCTACTTCCACCTTATCTGTATATATTCAATGGTTCCATATAGCATATTGGGCTAAATACTAACATTTGAGCTTCTTTTATTAAAAGTCTGCACACATACTCTAAGATAAAAATAATTAAATGTACAGAAATTCTATCCAAAGAAACTAAACAGTGATATTTTATTCCAGTTTGATTCTTTTCTAATCTAAAGGTGGTGTTTGCCTGAGGGAAGGTAAAGTACCTTGAAATAATATAGATACAGGAAAAGATTTGTAAAACATTTGCTGGGGGTTGGTGGTTTAAGTTGTAAATGAATTGCTTGATTATATCTTTATTCTTGCTTCGTGTAGCCTAATATATTTCCTTGTTAGCATGTACTTTTTCTGAATTGCAAAATATTTATGGAGAAATTGCAATGCTTTCACAGATTGTTGAAGTAGGTTCATCACATACAGTGTTAGGCTTTGACATTTTTCAAAGGGTAAATATGTTTTGACATTTCTTGATGAACAGCTCAAATGATGAAAAGCAACCGTCTTTCCTTTGTTGTCACCCTATTTCCAGGTTTGATTTGAATATATATGTATACAAATTCTTTTATTGGATGGCAAATTCACTAGACTCTCAAAAGCTTAACCTGAGTGAAACAAAAGAAACAATCACGTGCTGTTTCCTGTCTTCCCACCTGTTTCATACAGGAAAAATCCTTGAAAGGCTTTCTTTTCAATTTTCCAGCTGAACACCCTCAATAAATAGTTTATGATACATCCAGCAGATCTTAATGTGGTAGGAGTGAAAAAGTAATTTTAAAATTACAGGAAACACTGACACCAGCTTCAAAAACCTTTCTCTCTGGTAAGCCAGGATTCTTCACGTGGCCCGCCCTGATGGTGCTTTTGCACCGTGATACCTATTGTGATCTTGGAATTAAATAGTTCCCATTTTACAGAAATCCAAATCTCCCTCCCTTTTTTTTCCAATCTGGATACATATTCTTTAAATTTGACTTATGATCTCCAAGTGTCCCTGAGATAAAGATAATAATCCTTTTGAGATATTGCCATTGATTTTTTTTTTCTTTTTTTAACATTTTTAAGTGAATAAGGAAATCATCCAACACAATGTTTGTGCCCTTGGTAACCTAAACTTTCAAAATAGTATACAGATTTTTAGCTGTACCACTCCCATTAAAACTATGGAAAATCATTTCAGCTAATTCTGCATATGCTTGGAACATTCACCCCTACTGATCTACTAAGAATTAGAAATGCTCAGCTAAGCTGAGTAATCACCAGGTAGTTAATTTCAATTCCTATTCTGGTATGGTTTTCAGAATGTTAAGCTACAATGCCATATTTATTCCAAGAAAATATATTACACACAATTTAAAATATAACGAATTAAGGTAGCTTCTGATGTGAACTACAACAATTTGTAGCTCACAGCTGTTAGTTAATGGTGCAGATTTGTTTTTAGAGATAAATGTAATCAGTTAAACATTTGACTACCACATTCATCTAACTGAATGATATCTATATGCAAATGTAGGGAAGTAAAATTTAGAGCACAGCAGCCAATAGATCATGTTCTAGTTTGCAGTAAACTGTTCTCTTAAATTTCTACAATAGATTTTTCAAGTTTTTGTGTTCAGTTGGATTATTTGACAGGAGAGATCCTTGAGGCATGTTTGTTTTACAAAGTTCAAAAGAATTCTTTTAGGTGATCTGATTCCTTTGTTCAGAAACCTCTATTCTAATTTCTCTTTTTGGGTTTTAAGACCTTTTACCTTTTGGACCATATAGGCTTATTTTTTTGTTTCTTTAAACCAAATGCTGCTTTAGTCAATTCACTTGGCTTCTCATATTGGTTGTGATATAGGTTTGTGTATGGAAACCATAAATATAATAACATTGGCATAAACGAAAGGGTCTCCTCCCCATCTCAGCATATACATGAGTCTCAGCTGGCATGCTATCTTAACTCTATGAAGTCATCAAAAGTCCAGACTCCTTTTGTGTTGCTGATCTGCCAGACTTAGGGTATCGCTTTTATCCTTAAAAGCCAAGATGGCATATCACCATTTGGATATTTCAGCCAGAGGGAAGGGTAAAGTGAGAGCACATATCTTCTCTCTAACCACATGACCTGAAAGTCTCATGTGTCACTTCTGCTCACATCTTGTTAGCCAAAACTGAGGCATACATCTACACAGAATAGCAAGGGATGCTGGGAAATATCATCTTTATTCATAGTAACCATGTTCCCAGTGAAAAAAAGAAAACAGATATTGGGGAATATTATCTTTGCTACTCTTTTCAGGTCTTGCTCACAATCAACTCTCTTCCCGGTTGGATGTTCAAATTTATCCTTCTTCTCTGCTTATCCACTTTCTTCTCTTATTTACCATTTGGATAAAATCCAACTGCTTTTGTGGAACTTTAAGTTGTATTAGCCTCCTTGGCTTACCCTAAACGTTCTAAGAACTTTTACTTCTAAGTTATGGTCTCAGGTATTTTATTGTCTGTTTGGCAGTATTTGTGTGGTTCATTTGACACTGGTTGTTTTGTGTTGCCATTAGATGTTAAAAAATACTTTTTATGTTCTCACGGTTTCTATGGTGGAAATCCAATAAATGCTGACTTAACAAAATCAGAGATTTAGCAACATATGGCATGCTTCTTAAGCCTAATTTCTAAGGCTGGTTTTTGGTAGTAGGAGCTGCCTTATCATCATTTTTTAAAGTATTTACACATACTTTTTCAGAGCTGAATATTTGTTGTTCACCATTCTTTAAAGTCAATGTATTAAACGCTTTTCATTAGTCACTTATATACCATCCTTCTCATCCTCCTACCTAAATATGTATGTACTGTTCTTGATAGGCTTTCTACTATTTTATTGCATTAGAACAACTGGGTCAAAAGTCATGTATTCTACTTTTGACACATTGCTAATCTTTTTTTTTTTTTTTTTTTTCTAAGACAGCATCCCACTCTGTGGCCCAGGCTGAAGTGTAGTGGCACAGTCCCAGCTCACTGCTGCCTCGACCTGCCTGGGCTCAGGTGACTTCCCACCTCAGACTCTGAGTAGCTGGTGCACAGCACCACACCCAGCTAATTTTTGGATTTTTTGTAGAGACAAGGTTTCACCGTGTTGCCCAGGCCAATCTCCAACTCCTGGGCTCAAGTGTTGTACCCACCTTGTCCTCCCAAAGTGTTGGGATTATAGGTGTGAGCCGCTGCACCCAGCCACATTGCTAGTCTTTATACTAAACTAACAATATTCTTTCAATACCCCCAGAGGCACTTCTAATGCATTATACTAGCACTTCTGGCATTTGCTGCAGTACATTCTTGATTAGAAAATGCATCAATCAGTGGCTCAGCAGGAGACAGATGGCTCAAACAAACAGTGTAATTAGAAAGTGTTTAATAAACTATTTGCAAAGAAGTAGGCAGGGCTAAGAAAATCCAACTAGGGATGCTAAGCATGGTAGGGTCAGCATGTCAGAAGCCACAGCACTCAGGCCTAATGGGGGAATGGAGGAATTGGATACCAGAACCAGCTGCCAGTACCTGTAACTGAGAGAGGGCTTCCCAGAAGGAGCTGTGGACTTTTGTAGAGGGACCTACCTGGCCCATTATGACCCTGCAGGGTGAGTCAATGAGAAGAAAGACCCTAATCTCATCTCCTGCTAGTGCCTCTCACTGGTGGACTCCAGCTGCAATCCTGAGGTTAGTGAGTGTAGTCCCGAAAGGAGTGACCCCCAAAGTCTAGGTCAGGCCAGAGAAGGTGAACTGTAGATCTAGAGAGACAAATGGAAAATATCTAGCATAGAAAACATATCCAATTCTATATACATTTTCCAAAGTTGCCAGTTACATTTTTTTTAATTTTTGTTTTCCTAGTATTTCAAGGATGCCGTTGAATAAATTGTAATGCATTTCCTTTCCTCTTTTGTTTGAATTATACTGTTGCTTTTACTTCAGCACCAGTCTTAAGGCTGAAAAGATTCAGAGTAGAGTTTATATAGAGGACATTTAGACAGAAATGAGTCCATTCCAATAATATCCTTTTAGACCCCTAAAATAGGAACATTATTCAACGTAACATTCAATTGAGCAAAGCCACTGTATGAAGAGCATAAATTAGTTATTGTCAGCAAGTTTGCAGTATGAATAAAAATACAGGAATGTAACAGAGGACATCTCCTTTGTCTAGAATACTCTATAATTGTGGCATATAGTTATGTAGAGGACTTCAACACCATATGTTTTAACAAATACTTTGGGTCATAAGGGTATGTATAATGGAAGGACATAATTAAAGTTTAATCTGTTCAGTAAAAAGGCACCATTAATTACACTAGGCAATTTATTGGGTTATTAATTGGTTCTGGAAACATGTCAAGATACTAATTTAAATGGAATTTTTTCCCTTAATTGTCTAGACAGCCCCTCGACCATATACTGCTCCAGGAAATATGCAGCCTCCAATTCGATTACAGCCTCTTCCCAGTCACCCTGCAGTAGAAACTGTTCCAAAGGTAACTTCGAGGTCCAGATCAAAAACCTCATTGCTGGAAAATGAAGCTCTGTTTCCCATTGGGGTAAATGTTCTTTTTGTCAACAAATATATTTTCGTTTTTGAGTAGATTATTATAGGTAATTACAGTGGTCAAGGTATTATATTAGATTAGAATCTACACAGTGAAAATTATATTGTATATGTATAAAACACTTACTACATACTTGTGATTAATTATGTCTTACTCAAATGGGAAGGCCTATAATTTGTATCATTGAGCAAAAAAGTAAAGAACAGATTGGTAATAATGTATGGTGATTTCTCATTAGTTTACAAGGCTGATTGAGAAACAAAGGGGAAAACTTTTCCGAACCAGATTATGACTTCTATCAGAAAAGGCCCAGTGTTGACTTCCTCCAAATTTTAAATGCATGAAACCTAGAAAATGAAACTTTCCAAGAATAGGTTTGCATTTGCATGCTGACTTACTTTCCCATCAATGTATGAAATTGCTTCAAGTTTGACTTTTAGAAGGTTGAATATAGAAAGAAAAGAAGGTCCATCTTTAAAAAATGCTGAGTTAATCACACATAGGAGCTTGATTCTGCTACCCTCTTAAGGTTATATCTCAGATAATTTTCCCTTATTTAATAGAGCACAGGAAGGAGGTATGGTAACCATGGAATATGAGTTACTTAAATAGGGAGGAAGAATTAGTACATTCACTAATTTGGAAGGTATTGTTAATTTTTCTAACATGAAGAAAATTTTGCCAGCTTAAGAAAAAAACCTGCGACATGAGTACAATTGTCATTATGTTCAAAGGAATGATTATGTTTCATTTCTTAAGAAACATAAGATATATGAAATTAAGTTATTTTTATTTTTAATTGACAGATAACCTTGACACTAAGAAATTAATTCAGACAAATGATTGTGTTTCACAGTAAAAGTATAAATATAACACTAAAAATAATAATATATTAATCCACTTAATGTGCTTTTCAGTTTCTGAAGCACTTTTCATAAATCTTATTTCAGTTAATTTAATAATATTTTTCTAGAAACCAAGAGAAATTAATCCAAAAGTGGTGGTGCTTTTATCTAGGGAAGACTACTTACAGTTGGGCAGGAACTTGTTGAGTCATATGTCAATTAGTTTGACACTTTCTAGGCTCTGGTCTCCACTTTGAAGGCCCAGAGAGTTCCTGTGTTAGCCAGTGTCCGGGAATAGTCACATCTTGTGAGACTGTCCAGGCTAACTAAACGAACTCAAAACAAGCTCATTTTTCTCTAGATAATAAACAAAAATAGGAAACTCAATGGTATTCAGGAGCTATTTATTCACCAAGAGATGTCATAGTCAAAGCTTATAGAAGTGCATTATCCCCTAGTAGGCAGACATATATGAGAAGCCAAATCACAATGAGAAAGTTGCCTAGTGAGCATGGAATCAGAATGAGGGGATACAGTGTAATAGAATGTTAATCATATAAGGCCTAGATGGCCTGATACACCCGTCTCA